AAACACTGCACCCCTAATCATCCCACCAGCAGGATTCCTGCCCAGCAGAGCATCTTTGTGGTTGAGGACCACAATTTCATAGACTCTGCTGAAGACACAAGTCTCCCTGGCACCCACAGGACATCTGTCAGCAGTTCTCAACTCTCCACCGGTCTGTGACTTTCCATGTTGTGATCCAGGTGGAAGAGAAGTTAAAGAAAATTACTTTAAGAAGCAAAAAGAAAAGAGATTCTCCTAAAAGACTGATTTTAGCAAGAGCTCACAGACACATCTTGTTGAAAGAATGAATGAAAAAAACTACAATTAACAGGTGACTGAGAAGCACCAAGTTACACTCAAGCTAATGGGAGGGCTGGAAATCTCAAGCTGTGCCAGCAAAGCGCTGTTGTACAAAAATGTGACACATTCCCAATGTTACCAGCATAGGAGAGAGACACAGCTTATCCAAGACTTGCCAAACATCAGATTCCTTAGTTGGAAATGAGGTGATTTTTGTCCACCTGCCTGAGCTGAGCCTGACCATGTTCGAATGGGCTGTGGCAGGTCCCTGCTGTGCTCCATGTCCTGCATTTTGCAACAGCTTCTTATCATTGATTGAATTTCAGATACACATGTATTGTCTTTGCCAGAGAAACCCTGTGGTCACACACACACTTAAGAAGACTTCACACCTGCCCACACCTGATGGATTGCAGAAGTCAGAGCTCTACATGGGGTAGGCAACCAGCAGGAAACAGGCTGGAAACTATTCACAGTGAAATTTAGACAAACCTACAGGATCAGAGAAGTTGATACAAAGGCAATTGAAGAAAGTTTTGCAGTGATTTTGCACCTACAGAAGTCAGTTTTTGCCACAAAGCACAATATAAGGTCTGGGAAACTCTCCTGCATCCCAGTCACACAAACAGAACCTGAAGGCAACACACATCCTAGTTGATGAGCTCCACTAACTGCTAGGTCAGGACCCTACAGAGTTTTGGAAAGGGAAGACAGAGTGAATCCATTGCATGACAAAATTTTATAAACCTCTGTGTTCCAAGATTCAAAGCTTGCTTGTGTTCCAGAAGAATGGCTCCCTAGTGCATCACAATGCAGGGCTGGGTTTAGGGTTTAGCCACCAGTCTGGGCTCAGGCTTGGCACACACTGTCACAGAAAATCATCTGATGTGTGCCCTCCAGGGGCTGGGACTTAGCACAGAGTGCACAGAGTTATGAAAACAAATTAGAACATTAGCTCCAGAAAGATAATCATCTATATGCACAGAGGCTTGTTCTAGCCTGGTCACCGGGGACTGACATGACCTTTCCTACCATAGGAGGAATGGGTCATGCTCCTGCTACAATGGGCTCTTTCTTACCTGGTTTGCCCCAAAGTCTTCTGTTTCACTCACCTCTTGCTGTGGGACTCCAAGGTGAAGTGAGACCTGAGGGGCTTGTGGCAGCTGGTGAGTTGCCTCTTCCTGCAGCAAAGGGGAATATTAGCTCATGTTTTCTGTTAGATCCGTTTTACCAGCTGCAATCTTGAGAAACGAGCCATGGAGAGGGTAACAGATACACATAGTCCTGGAGAGAAAAGGCAGCTCCTGCTCCCTGAAGACACAGCTGAAATACTTTGCCACCCCCCAGTGGACACTTGAGTTTTACCAGTGACATTTACATTTCTAACCAGTTTTGTGTTATCATTTTTCCCTCCACCAGACACTAAAGTGTGTTCTCCTTCTGGATTTGCTGTTCTGGTTGTGTCTTGCTGCCCACCAGCTGCCCAGGTCCCTGCTCTCCTGACCCATCCATGGCACTGGGCTCTGGCTTCCCCCTGGGCAGAAGCTGTGAAGGATATTTTCTCCCTCACCCTGTGCATCCTTTGTGCACACCCTAACAGAGCTCAGGAGGTTATGGGGTTCTCCTCATCCCATCTGTGTGCCACTGAAAGCATGTCTTCTCCTCCACTGTCCTAGACACCCAACCAAAGCAGTGAGGAGACAGTTATCATTGGACATATTCACATCCACCATATGATAAAGAGTGCAAGATTTTGTGGCTCTTTGAAGTCATCTTACCCTTTTAGGACCAGACAGGGTCTTGTGTTGGTGCACAGAGCCATCCATGAGTGATGCCACAGTCTTCTCCTCCTTTCATGGCAGATTTCCTACCTTGGCTTCAAAGCTCGGTTGTTAAATGTTGCAGATGAGCTCATGGACCTAGTGTCAAGGTCAGGATGTGAAGCTGTATGGTGAAGGTTTTGTGTGATCTTAAACAAAAATGTCAAATTTTTGCTCCTAGGGAACATAAAGGGTTTTGTGAAGAAGGGGAAGTGGTGGGAGGGAAAATGTGCATGGATGGGGGGATTTTAGAAGAGAAATAGTGAGAAGCAAATGACCAGGAACTCACCTCCAGTTCTGAAATAACTTGTGTTTCATCCTAAAGGCAGTTTTTATCTCATTAAATTTGGCATCAGTCAAAAGAAGAGACTCTCATGACCAACTGAGCTTTTTCTTTTTTGCCATACATCAAAAGCAAAGCTTTAGTCTTGCACTCAAAACTTTCTGTGAAATGTTACTGAGGAGAAATGTAAAAATTCTGCTAAAAAATAAATAAATGCAGTGGAAACAATGTGGGCCAGCTTGAGTTGGAGTGCTCCCAGTTCAATTCCCAGTGACAGCTCAGCCCAGTACTCCCTTGTCCCTGAGAAAGGATCTCTAGAAAGTAGTCAATGCACTTTGTCCCTAAAAAGTACTCAATATCCACAGAAGGGTTTTCTTCCAAAAGGTCAGTGCTTGAGTTATTTATCACTCTGCTTTGATATTTACGTGGCCGAATTTGGAAGCTGGGTCCAAACATGAAAATACTGCGGACGTGGATAGAGATGTCAAGAAAGCCCAAGATACTGTAGTTTAGCAGCTTTCAGAGACAAGTGCTGAAAAATCCTGGCAACTGCCTGAGAAAAACTCCTGTTGCAAGAAGATGGAGAACAACTCACTTTCCCCCAAAGCGGTCAAGTGTGATAAAAATGTATTTATCTGAAATCAAGCCTGACTTCCTAGACAGAACTGTCTATTGATTAATTTCTCTGCTTCCATTTCCCTCTGGGAAAGATGTAAGTGTGTGTGCAGAAAGTGTTGAGTGCAGGGGCAACGCTCCAGTACCTTGACAAAACATAAGTATTTTGAAATGTGTTGCAAGGAAGCACTTGAAGGAGAGAAGAGCTGCTTGCTTTGCCAAGTAGTGATGCCAGGTTCAGTACTGGGAAAAAAATCATGACAGTCAGTGGGCAAGACTTTTAAGTTTCTATGAAGATCTTTTGGACACTACTGTGTTTTGAAGTGTTTAAACCATGTTTTATCATTAAAACTGTATGTACAGATCGACTGCAGAGCTGGTTATATGTATCTGTGTGTGACATGAAAATAAATACACTGGAGCTTCTCTCTCTGTGTCTGATCCATCCTCCAGCAATCTCTGTGCTTCTTGTTTCTCCCTCTGGTTTCACATGAGTAGCAGAAGAAAGAGTTTCCCTGGACATTCATCCAGCACACAGTGCAGGACACAAAGAACTTACTACAGATCACAATATCAGTTTTTAAAAATGCAGATTATTCCAGCTGATATCTATGCATTAAAATAGCCAGTGTGGTTTGTTGCATCCAAGTGCTTTGCTTGTTGCTTCTTCAGAGGATGAGTTGAAAAACTGGACAGCACAGATGTCAGAGCCAGGAGAAGTTCCCAAAGCTAAAAATGCTGCTTCCCAGGCTGGGTACAGCCGGGTCTGCTCTCCCTCTCAGTTTTTCTACAACTGTTTGCCTCATTTTCTCTGCTGTTCATTATGACTGTCTGGATTTTTCTCCTCTGAGGTTTCTTGTTCCACAGATTAGCAAATCTAGAGCAATTTGCTGAGCTGCAGCATCTCCATATCAAATGGATATTAAAGCAAGGGAAAAATATGGTAATGGAAACCAAATAATATTCTGGACTTTTTCTTTCTTTAATAAACTGAGGAGGAATAAGGGGAGAGGACTGGGAACTCTTCAAGGATTAAAAGTTAGTTTTAGAATTGAGTCTAACCTGATGCAATGATGGCAAATGTCCTTCAGAGTGAGCAGCTGGGCAGCTTTGTCAGTCCCTTGTAAAATTTTTTTCATTATTCAGAACCCAAGAGACCCCCTTAGAAATTACTCACCAGGAAAATCATGTTCCAAATGAGCAAAACAAAAGGCTAACAACCAATTCCCCACAAAACACGATGGGAAGAGCATTCTCAGGGGCTCACCTACCATTTTGTTCGTTGATCTGGGGCTAGTGCTCCTGAGATGCCTGGACTGTGCTCTCACAAGCTGGGGAAATTCAAACAAAGCTCTACCACTTGTAGGGTTTGCAGCATTAGTTTGCAAGCTTGCAGTTTTCTTTGCCTTACTTCTATAGGAGCTGATGAGTTCAAGAGAGATACCTGTCCTACCACAGAACATGCTGAACAGCTGCCTAAATTCAAGGGAAAGGCTCCAAAGAGAAGGATTTTTTTTTTTTTCCTGCTGCTGGTGACTGCAGTGCAGGTGGATTGGGCAGCACTGAGAAACTGCAACAAAAAACTACCAGCATGACAGTTTGGGAAAGAGAAGAACTCCCCAGCATTTCCATGAGGATGGAAATAAAACACCGACAGGAACTTGGAGGTATAGCTATTGTTTATTTAACCGCTTACAGACTGGAGTTTCTATTAGTTGGCTTTGTGCTGAGCAAATGCTACCTGCAGAGGGTGTTTCTGAACGTGAACCAACTTGGCTAACATCACAAATTCACACTTACACAAGTCATCTACCAACAGATACACACGTTAAACTGTCTTAGATTCAATTTCCCCGTTATCAGAAAAAAAAATCAACCTCTTATGTTTGAACTGTAGCCCATATTAAAAGGTTTTATTTCAAATCAGAGCTTCACATCTAACAGAGACACAGTCAGATACCTCAGCTAGATTTGCAATATGTGTTGTGAGTGGGTTTCTCTAATTGTGAGTGGGGCTGCCTAGAATTAAAGCTGAGGAGGTTGCATTTAACTTCTACAATTAAATTGAGTTCAGTTGCATATGAGTCTCACAAATAAAACTAGGAATTAAAATGCCCCGTACTCGGAGTTTGCCCATTCTGGAAGATATATATTCTGTTTTG